GCGAGAGCTGGGGGGGGGATTCTGGGAGTTGAAGTCCACAGGACTTAAAGTCGCCAAGGTTGAGAAACACTGATCTAGTTGCTTTGCTTCAGGAAACTCAAATATTAATTACTTGAGTACAATACTTGGATGTTTTCTGCTTGGGAGCTTTGGTTTACTTAATGAGAGAAAACCTACAAGAGGCGTTCTAAAGTTTTTGCAATCACGCCACCCTTCAATCTAATCTTAATATACATCTCTTAAAAATCCACGCACCAAAATGGAACACAAATGAAAAAATGAAAACACAGCAATAAAACGTTATTTTTAAATAAAGGTAGGTACAACTACCGGTGGTTCTCGACTTACAGCCACAATTGAGCCCAACATTAATGTTACTAGGTGAGAAATGAGTTAAGTGTGTGTTGCCCCATTTTAAGACTTTTCTTGTCCCATATGTTAAGTGAATCACTGCAGTTAGTTAGTAACCCAGTTGTTAAGTGAATTTGACTTCCCCATCGGCTTGTCCGAAGGTTGCAAAATATGATCGTATGACCCCGGAACATTGCAATGAATGTGAGTCGATTGTCAAGTATCCAATGTAAATTCCTTGACCACGGGGATGCTGTAACATCTTAAGTGTGAAAAATGGTCATAAGTCACTTTTTTAATGAAGCTGTAACTTTGAATGATCACTAAATGGACTGTTGTAAGAACCTGTAAAAGGTTCTTCCTAACTCCCCTGGACACTCTCTGTACCTGTAATAGCGAACGTGTGGCACGCATGCCACCGGTGTCACGTGGATCTTCTTTGTGGGCACGTGAGCTGTTGCCCAACTCAGCTCCACCACGCATATGCACACGCCTCCCACCGGTCAGCTGATTTTCTGCTCTCTGCCGCACATGTGGGAGACGTGCGCGCAATGCGTGGGGTGAGTGTGTCCCATCCCTCCCAGGAGTCTCCACACGGCTTGTTGTGGATGCCAGGGAGGGCGAAAAACGGGCCTCCTTTATTTTCTTTTTTTCCTTTTTTCTTTTTTTTTTCTTTTATATAAATGTGTTTTTATTTTCCATTTCCATTTTCGTACAGTCACATATATACTGTGCATAANGGGGCTGGGCTGTCACGTGTGCATGTGCAGATGGTGGGGCATGCCTTTAGAAGAATGTTAGCCATGACTGACCTAGACTATCCGCCATGAGGTGAGTAATGAAAGTTGCTGTTTTGTTCCTCCCGCAGCTATTCCAGCGAGCTTCACCTTACACGGCTAAAGGAAACGGAAGGAGGCGTTTATACGTTTTTCGTCTCCAACTCAGACGCCAACGCCTCTGTCACGTTCAACATCTACGTAAACAGTAAGTAACAATCCCTGTGACATTTCCTTGCCCCAAAGCCTTGCGTTTGACTAAAGCAAATTGCACGTTGGGAGAGTCTGTGGATTTCATGGCTGAGATAAAGGCCATTCTATAAAGTGAGATTTTAGAGCCGTGGTGACGCAGTGGTTAGAATGCAGTACTGCAGGCTACAGCTGCCAGCAGTTTGGCAGTTCGATTCTCGTCAACTCAAGTGTCAACTCTGAATTGAACCTGGCTGAAGCCATCTTTTGTTGCTTCATAGTTGCCACACACTCTTAGTGGGGCGGGGAGTAGATAGACACAACAACGAGCCTTCCCATGGGAACCAAGGCCATCCTAACAAGTGGCATTTGAAGGAGGAGAGGAATGACCAAGAAACCCGCTAACTGTTTTAATTGAGTTTGACGCCCCTGATTTAGACTGTGTTTCCTTCCATATCTCACTGAGAGGTAGGATAGATTCACTGATGTGCACAATGAGAGTTTTGGTATGAGCAATGATTTGAATGGGAATGCTTCTCGCCTGCTTTTTCCTATAACTTTTTGTTTCTCTGTTGACATCTCCATCTGTACTGTATTCAAAGGAATGTGATGCAGCCTGATCCAGACAGTGTAAAAAGAATACCCCAAACCCTCATCCTGGGAGCTAGTTTGCAAGGGGTGGGCTTGATACACTCCATTGTCCTTAATTATCTCTATTATGCTGAGAGAAAAAAAAAAGGAATGCTAATGGCTATATATTGCACGCTGCTTCAACTACAACAAACTAATTATTGAAGGCTTCATTAAGCTCTTTTGCATACTTCCCATCCTCTTATCAATAATTTGCCATTAAATGCTTTAAATTTTCTAATTTCATTAGTTTTATTAAAGACCGCTGAGACAGATTCCAAGCATGGTTATATGGAGGTTGTTGGTTTTTTTTTTTNGTTTTTAGGGTAGGGATTCTACACGAGATCTCTGTCTTTCATGCAGATCAAGTGCTCATTTTTTGGCTTTGGATTCCAGATTTAGGTGGAAAGCAGAAACTGGACTTGAGACTCATCTGACTGTACAGGCAGGCAAAGCAGCAGAGGACAGAAAAATCTCTCTGCAGCTGGAGAAGGAGAGACATACATGGTTGGATTTATTTATTATTCATATTCTAATTTTTCCCTGCTCGTATTTCTCCAACTGCTGGAAATAAGGGTTTTCTTAACTGACTCCATTATTTCGTGACTTGGGAGCCTGCTCTGTGACATTGACTCTGTCTTTGAGATGGTTAGCACCCTCTAGTGGCTAATGACATCCCCACAACTTTCCTAGGACCAGGAAGCTAGGAGAGTGAGGATTAGTCAATGTCTAGCTTTTAATGTAGAAGAGCCATGGTACATTTTGGATTTCTCTGGATGGAGAAGATGAAGTGGATCTAGAAAATATGAAGCTCCAAAGGAAACTTGTAAGAAAATATTTCCCATTTTTTCCCCAGATTCTTTAGATCTTGCTTTAAAAACACTTTTGACAAAGATTACTATTTTTTTTAGTGAAATCCATCTCTGTGTTATTCAGGCAGCAGCTTGTCTTCCAAAGTATTCCAGAAAGCATATATAAGATTTTTTATCTGAAGACCATTTTTTACACAAATGAAAAACCTGCCCTGTAAGATCCTTGCTATTTTTATCTATTCTGCACATGCATAACTTTTACATGAAGAGCAATCCTCCCAAGAGACCGAAATATGGAATTGAAATCACATATGTACTTACAGGAGAAGAGGCATAAAGGCCTAACATTATTTTGTCAAGGGAATCTACCCCCATAGCATTCCCAGTACTCTCCAGACTGACATTCTCAAGAGCTTCCCTGAATCTAGTTCTTTTCACCTTCCCTAAAAATAATACATTCTCTCTATCCCTCCCTCCCCCCGTCCTCTCTCTCTCTGTGATATAGGAATTTTAAGTCCTTGGGTTCAATAAATATAGTAAGCAAAGGATACCTTCCTAATTCCATTTATACTGTTTTGGGTTGTTATGCAACCCAATGGCTGATGCTTGGTGGGCAGCTTTGAAAGCATTTGGAGTGTAAATAAGGATAACTAATCTAGTGTGTAATCTAATTAATTGATTAATCAATCAATTAATTGCATGTTTATTATATACATAAAATCTTGTCAGTATCAAATGTTCTCTCAACCAATTGCAAAGCGTTTAAGCATTTCAGACAACATTGTTCAAAAGCCAATGTGCCTGTGAGAAGACAATGTTTTTTTTCCTTACAAAGCTGTACTGACAACTGGGTTTCAAGCCAGAAGAATCTGAAGGCATCGTTTCAGTTCTGAAGAACTCAACAGTTGGGATCCTGGTTTGAGTCATTCTTGGCATTCTGTAGGCAAAGCTTAATGTGAGATGCACCCAGGTCTACAATATGACAAGATGCAGTGAAGACTTAGTTCGTAGGTGGCTGTATATGGTAGAAGAAGTTGTTCCTTTGCCATGCTGTGGAAATCTTATAATGCAGTACTGAAATACATCCACTTCATCCTTTAATGATTATCTTAGTTAGTGACCACTGACAAATACATTGGTAATTATCCCAAAGGTGCTTTTTCAGGAGGCAACCGGACTTCGTTGTTTTTTCTTTTGAAGAAGTTTCGCTTCTCATCCAAGAAGCTTCTTCAGCTCTGAGATGATAGTGGGTATTTCAGGATAGTATCAAAGCTGAAGAAGCTTCTTGGATGAGAAGCGAAACGTCTTCAAAAGAAAAAACAACGAAGTCCAGTTGCCTCCTGAAAAAGCACCTTTGGGACNATGAGGACCCAGACTGTGGGGGCAATATGCTGACTCTGTAAACTGCTTAGAGAGGGCTGAAAGCCCTATGAAGCGGTATATAAGTCTAACTGCTACTGCTATTGCTAAAGTTTCTCCCTTCCACTTTTATTATCTTTACCTGCTTTCTTAGTCTGTCACAGGCATAGCTAAGCTGTGGAGCTAGCTGTTGAGCTAGTAAATCTATAAGTACAGTATTGCAGAAAGCTAGGAACTTTAATTGGTCTAGAAACCAAGCCAAGTTTCAAGTAGAAAAGAGAAACACATCAAGTTCCAAAAGAAGAATCTAGGCTCACTCCGCTCCTCAGACCCAGATTTCAAAGATCAGTGATATATCAGGGGGGAAAGGTAAGGATGGAAGTTGATAGTGAACTACAATAGGCTGCTTTGGCAAATGACTTTACTCTTCAGTGTTCCAACATCTCCTTCCAGCAAAGATGAGGGACCTGTAAAGTTCTGAGCCTGGAGAGAAGAGAAGATCTGCAAGACATTCTTTATGAAGAGTCCAATTTCTTCTTTAGCAGACTTGACAATTTCCCACTCCTTTTTGACATTAAAGAACTGAACATTCCAGCATATATGATTGATGATGAAATATGCAGAGAGTTATCTCTCAAAAGTATCTGGAACACTATAGTTCCTATTCTACAAGTTTCCATTATAAAATGAGTAAGGGACAAAATTTATGAAGAAACGCGACTTTCACAAGTTTCTTTTCTTTCCTTAATAAGGTAAAAACTGCCTTCAAATTGAGCTTGATGTCTAGTTACTTGCATGGAGATACCATTTCTTGACATGATAACAGAACAGTTTGTTACCAGAACATTTTCCTCAAGTTCTCCGTCTTGTCTACAACATTTTTCAGACTGGGTTGGGGGAGGGAAGAGATATCTGCTCTCATACACTACCCTATTTCCCTGAAAATAAGACCTCCCTGGATAATAAGCCCAATTGGGCTTTTGAGCACATGTGCTAAAATAATCGCTCCCCATAAATAATCCCTCCCCCCAAAAAAATTCAAGACAGCAGCAACCATGAGGTGACCATGCTTGCCACCTCCTGCACCTCCAAAATCATAAGACCACCCTGAAAATAAGATCAATTGCTTATTTTGGGGGGTCAAAAGAAAATAAGACCCTGTCTTATTTTCGGGGAGACACAGTAGTATGAAACATTAAAATGCAAACCCAAAAATGCCAAGATGTAGTTTTAACATTTTGATGGATACCAATACAACTAAACCTGATCTTGTTTGGTATTCTATGTCAGGCAAGAAAGCTAGGTGCTATCGCCTAGCAGAGGTAATAATTCTAACCCCAACCCCCATTTTGTATTTGACCTCTTTTTCCACTGAATAGGGAGATCTTCCATATTTCATAAAATGGACTAGGTAGTGCTATTATTCTTGAAACTGGATCACACTAATTCTTTTGTTCTCCTTTGAACATCAAAAATTTCCATAACCTTCAAAGCAGGAACATTAGAAATATCCTAGGTAATATCACATGTCAGGAGAGGAGAGAAGCATTCAAATATTATTATTCGAGTTCCACCCACTTTCATTTGAGGTGTAGTGCTTAAAGTGTCTGCTTGAGTCTAGGGGAGACTCAGTTTCAAGTCTATGCCCAGTTACAGAAATTCGCTTGGTGACTTTTAGTCTTCCTCCCTAAAGTTGTAAGGACATAATCCATATTGCCTGTTAGTATTGAGGGACAGAATGCAGATGGAATAAAGTGGCATATTACTCTAAAAACTGGATTTAGATTAAGGACACGAGTTGTTAAAACCTGCTTTTTATATTTACGGAATGGTCACTGCCCTTCCTATGTTGCAAACAGCTTTCTCTTTCAGTGTGCAAAAATTATGAAGGGCACTCCAGTCCAAATCCAGTTAAAATATAAAGTTTAAAAAGGGAGAACTGAGGTTTCAAATTGCTTACCAAGTGTTAACATCTGGCATCATTAGAAGATGTATCTATCATGAAACTATAGGTCTTTTCTCTGAGATATGGCAAACTGTACTTCCATTTAAATTATTGTAGTTTAATTTATGCATGGAAACCAATATATGTAATTTATAGCAACTGTTAAATGACTACATAGTGATGATTTTTATTTTGGCCAGAATTGCTAGCTATTATTGCAAAATGCAGAATATATCCTTCCATGACTAGTTCTGTTCAACAACTAGTAACTCA